CTTGGACAAATTACTTAGTATCTATGATCTTTGTTTTGTTTTCATCTGTAAAATGGGGAAAATAAGAGGACCTATCTTAACGTTTTGAGAGGATTAAATGTTTATGTAAAAAACTTAGAGCAGCGGTTCTCAACCTGTGGGTCGCGATCCCTTTGGTGGGGGGTGGGGTCGAACGAACTTTTCACAGGGGTCACCTAAGACCATCGGAAAACACATATATAGTTATATATTGTTTTTGTGATTAATCACTATGCTTCAATTATGTTCAATTTGTAACAGTGAAATTGGGGGTCACCACAACATGAGGAACTGTATTAAAGGGTCGTGGCATTAGGAAGGTTGAGAACCACTGCCTTAGAGCTATGCCTAGCACATGGTATGTGCTTATTAATTGTTAGCTAATGATACTATTAGAAAAGATGGTGAGATATTGCAAGTTAGGGATTGGTCTGTTAAGGCCTTACCCGAGGATTTGAGGATTTGAGAAAGAATTTGAGCAGTTCTGAAGGATAAGTAGAAATTGGGTAGGTGGAGAGGAGGACTTTATAGATATGGTGGAATGACATAAGGAAAAAGGTGGAGCAGGAAAGGAAGGGAAGACAGTATCAGAGATCATTGTGGCTGGAGTAGACGGCTCAGAGTTGAATGTGTAACAGTGAAACTTCTGAGAGCTGGAAAATGAATAGAATGGTGAGGTGAAGAATGCAGGTAGTCTGAACTGGCCTCTCATGACTACTTCTGAGGGAGGCCTCATAGAAGGATTACAGCCGTAATCAGGGATCCCCTGATCCACTGCTGTGCTTCCTTGACTTTTCCTCTCCCGTTCTCCTGGTTACATTCCACAGGTGGAGGAAGAGCCTTTTTTACCTGTGGCTTTCTTCCCATGGAATTGGGGAACTCAAGGACTTTCTCAGCAGTTTTAGCAAAAGGAAGATTTTTTTTTCTTCAAAAGTTCTGCGAAGTCTTCCTTTTGGTATTTTCTAATTTCAAGATATTTTAAAACACATTTTCTCTCTTAAAAAATAACTCTTGTTTTTAACCTTGTCTTGGGAGTGCTTATTCTTAGGGACCATCAAGAACTGCAATGAAAAGTAAATATTTTAAGTTCTTATCTGATCATGGTCTGCATAAGGAGCAATATAAAAGAAACATTTTTGCTTTAATATTCACCCGAACCTTTGTATGGTTATGTGTGAGTACATGTGTGTATATAAATGTATTATATATATGTGACTGTTGAATATATTACATATACTGTCTATCTATCTATATAAAAGGCTAAGCAACTGTCCTACTGGTAGGTATGACACTCACTGACCAGCAGGGGGCAGATGCTCTGACCGGTAGCCATGATGCACACTGACCACCAGCTCAACACAGGAGCTGCCGAGCTGCGGTGACTTGGCAGCTGCAGTTCTCTGGTGATGCACCTGGAACCAAGATGAGGGAGCCCAATTCTGGGATGCGTCACCCGAGAACTGCCCTCTCGCAATCTGGGACCCCTCAGGGGATGTTGGAGAGCTGGTTTCAGTCCGATCCCTGCAGGCCAGGCCGAGGGACCCCACTGGTGCACAAATTCATGCACCGGGCCTCTAGTATTTATATATTTTAAATTACTATTTTCAGTCCTCTTCCTAGAGGAATTTTAGACTACAATATGGTATATATTTTTTTAGAGGATGCATCATGTCATCACAACTCTACTTTCTTAACAGGTTTCATGAACCTTTAAAATGAGTGATTTCAGAATATGTAGTTTAACACACAGTATGACCCTGAAATTATTTTAGTTCTATGTTTCAGTTTGTATAAAATAAACACCCCATTTTAGCAATAATTACTGTTCAAATTTTTGTCTTTTTAAAGGAATAGGAGTATTAGGATTTATAGGGAAAGTGTTTTTGTGCTTATTTTTATGAGTTACATTTAAACATTTTTGCAGACTCTCAGCAGGATTAATGGCAAGGTCCCCGTTAATAGGTCCTCTAGTTCAACATCCTAAATGGATGCATTTTGTTACTTCCCCTTTCTTATTTCTCTAAAAGGGTACTTACTGCAATTAGTGCACATACTTCAGACTTCTTTTACTAAGTTGCTAAGGAACTTTTACATTTCAGCATCTTTTTCCAGTGTTCTTTTCATCATGTTTATTAAATACTTTTTGCATACATTATGTTGTGGAGAGAGCTTCCTGCCTACTGAAGAGTTTTCCATTCTAATACCAACTCAGTCAGGTGATAGTGATTGGTTTTAGAGCATTATTTTGAGAATTCTTTTACTGTATCCATATTGTTTAACAGAAAGGATTACCTTGATTGATTAGTGATGTGTGACCATAAGCATTGGATGGAACTGAATGGCGATGCATGGATTCATTCCTTCATACATGAAGATTATCAGCTGTTTTTCTGACTTCACTTGAAATAGTTTATGATTTCCTATACCAGCGGTTGCCAACCTTTCGAACCTCATGGACTACCAGTGGTCTGCAGACCACTGGTTGGCGACCGCTGTTCTATACTATTGTTTATCCTGACCCTTCTCTGCCAAAGCAGAATTAATCATCCCTATGATAGCCTATTATTATCTTAATTGTAACACATATCTTCATTTAATCATTTCCTTGTCTGGCTTTTCTATGGATTATAAACTTCGTAAAGGAAAGGACAGTATTTTATTTATCTGTATATCCTTAACACCTAACACCGTGCTTCGTACATGTTCTACGTAGCCAAAAAATGAGATAGTTCATTATTTCCTTGATGATCTGGATGATGTGTGGTATGAACAATGGGACATTTATTATGTTTGAAGATCGGTGATTAGGCCTCGGTTTTAGGATGGTGGTGCAGTGTACCAAAAGGAAAGGCAGATGCTTTAGATAAGAATAGTCAAGTCAGTGTTTTTTTGGAATGCAGAGGAACTTGGTGTTTGAACTTCATGTCTGAGAGAATGGTGGTACCATTAGAAAAACAAAGTTGGAAAGGGGGTAGATTTGGATGGGATGAGTTTGGTTTTGAAGATGTTGGATTTTTATTGAAAATGTTTGTTAGTTTTAGATGGAGGATTTGAACTAAGGATTTGGTAGTTGAGCTAGTTGGAGAGCTTGCTGTGTTATATGCTTCATCATAGCACTCTACTTGATTGCAATTGCTTATTCAATGTCTATCTTTCCCTTTAGGCTCTAAGCGCCAGTAGGGTTGGGAAAATGTCTTGTTCAATGCTGTATCCTCATTTACAAACACAGTTACTGTTTGGCACATGGTAGGCACTCAGTAAATAATTGTTCAGTGATTTAACTTCCGTACTATTAGTTGACTTAAATTGTACACTATATTGACTTTATATTGCTAATTAGGGTTACTAGTTTTTAAATTACTTGGATAATTGCTTTTTATAGAATCATTGGACATTTAGACTTGAGATCTTAGAAATCTTTGGCAAATCCCCCAGTTGGACCCTGGAAAGGTAAAGTCATCTACCCAAATTTATTATTTATTCAAAAAAATATAAATATGATACATGTCTTTCAGGCTAATAAAGGGAAGGTAGAAAGATGGTTTAAGTAGATGGTGATTTCATAGGTTTTCTCTTGTTTAATCATTTCTCTCCTCTCTAGTGCTTTGTCCAATGGCATGGAAAAGATTAGAAAGGAGATGAAATTTTATTTGTGCTTGCTGGCAACAGATTTTTGGAGTTTCTAATGATTAACATGAGGTTTAGATAAGATATTGATTTTGTTTCCTCCTCCTTTGTCATGTTAGCATGGTTAATCATGTTCTTGGTTTACCATTATTTGATAGTATAATTATAAACATTCATATGAGTTATTTGGCTCTGTTTAAACAATACCATCTGTAAAACAAAGTTTAGAAAAAGTGGATCTGCCTGAGACCACACTCATAGGATATAATTTTAAAAGTCAGTAAATTTTCATTTTTAAGGTGTGGACATTAATCATCAGATTAAAATAAACGTCCAGTATTTTATTTTATAATTTCCCAAACAGAGACAGTATACTTTTGTTTAGAACAAATAACAAATAGTCCCTTAATTATTTATATATATACTAGAGGCCCAGTGCATGAAATTCGTGCATGGGCGGGGGTGTGTGTGTGTTCCACAGCCCAGCCTGCACCTTCTCCAATCTGGGACCCCTTGAGGGATGTCCGACTGCCTGTTTAGGTGGGATCAGGCCTAAACGGGCAGTCGGACATCCCTCTCACAGACCAGGACTGCTGGCTCCCAACTGCTCACCTGCCTGCCTGATTGCCCCTAACCGCTTCTGCCTGCCAGACTGATCACCTCCTAACCACTCCCCTGCCAGCCTAATCGACACCTAACTGCTCCCCTGCAGGCCCGATTGCCCCTAACTGCCCTCCCCTGCCAGCCTGGTCTCCCTAACTGCCCTCCCTTGCCAGCCTGGTTGCCCCTACCTGCCCTCCCCTGCTGGCACAGTCACCCCTAACTTCCCTCCCTTGCCAGCCTGGTCGCCCCCAACGGGCCTCCCCTGCAGGCCTGGGTCCCCCCCATTTGTTCTCCCTTGCAGGCCTGATTGCCCACAACTGCCCTCCCCTGCTGGCCATCTTGTGTTCACATGGGGGCGGCCATCTTTGACCACATTGGGGGGGCACCTTATGTGTTGGAGGGACGGTCAATTTGCATATTGCCTCTTTATTATATATGATGATATATCACACACACACTGTATTTTTTTGTTTTTTTTTGTTAGTCTTCACTCGATATTTTTTCATTGATTCTTAGAGTGGAGGGGACGGGGAGAGATGGAACATCTGTGTGAGAGAAACACATCAATTGGTTGCCTTCTTGCATGTGCCCTGACCGGGCCGGGGATCGAGCCTACAACCGAGATATGTGCCCTTGACAGGAATCAAACTTGGGACCCTTCAGTCTGAGGACCAGTGCTCTATCCCCTGAGCCAAACTGTCTAGGGATAAATGTATTTTTAAAATAATTGTTTTTGCTTTTTTAAATTTCAGTATCAAGATAAAGAGGAAGTTGTTTTATGGATGAATACTGTTGGGCCCTACCATAATCGACAAGAGACATATAAATACTTTTCACTTCCATTTTGTGTGGGGTCAAAAAGAAGTATCGGTCATTACCATGAAACTCTGGGAGAAGCACTTCAAGGCGTTGAATTGGAATTTAGTGGTCTGGATATTAAATTCAAAGGTAAGTACACCTTAATAGTCCTTCTAATAGAAGTTATATTGTAGACCAGGGTTTCTCAACTTTGGAACTATTGACGTTACAGCTGGATAAGACTTTATGTGTGTGTGTGGGGGGGGGGGCGCGTCCTGTACATTGTAGAAGTGTCTCTTGCTTCTTTACCCACTAGATGCCAGCAGCACTACCAGTTGTGACAACCAAAAAGTCTTCAGAGGTTGCTAATAGCCCTTAGTTGAGTACCACTGCTCTAGACTCTAAGAAATGTTTTAACCTATAACCTAAGTGTATTGCTTTTAGGAAAACTAATAAAGATTTATTTATTTACTAGTAAATTTATATTTATTGGAAATAGATGTCCCTCTTTTCCCCCCATAGACTCCCCTCCATAACAGAGATTTATTTTGAATGTTATAAAGTAAAATAAATAATTGTTAATAACTTTATATTTTCCTAGCATATTTCTCAAAAGTGTTTTCTAGCAAACCATCTAGTGACTAATTGGACATATGTGGTTGGGGAAAACCTTCATAGATTCATATTGGAGTAATTTTCTGAGGTGCGGGGATGTAATGGGGTGTGTATGGATGGATACTTAAATATTTTGTGTAAATCCTTAATTTCAAACTTGTACCATTGGCTTAGAATGTATTTAAAAGTGCTGTATTAATTTATACTCTGAATACTTATAGGATAGTGTGGCTTTAAATTTGAAGTAAAAAACATGTTAAAATTGGAAAAGAGCCTCCTTATTTATTTTTCAAGTATCTATTTTATCAGGTCTTTTGAGTGTGTTTATACTTTTTATTTTCCTCTGTAAAGTTTATCAGAGAGGTATTTTCTGATAGACATTTTAAATCTGATAAACAGAAGCTTGAAAAGTTGAATTTTTGTAGGATCTTTGATTAGGTGTCTTGATTTTTGATAGAGCATGGATCTTGTAATCAGGAGCTTTGAATTTTAATCCTATTTCTTTTACTGTATTGGTTTCAGTAAAGTTGTTTACTTCAATTTGACTTCATTGCCTACATGTGTAAAATGAACAGCAACTGACTCCTGTTATTTTTAGCACTTTTGGATGATGTGAAATGAGATATTTTAAAGATAATATTTGATTTTAATTCGTTAAATTTTATTCTTGTTTTTAGAATATTTTTTGTTGTTGAAAATAGGTATACATGTTTGCATTCTTTCCCCCCATTATATTCCTTGGGCCTTAATTATAAAATTAAGTTATAAATTTAAACCACAGCCATAGCCTATAGTTTTATGAAATATTGTGAACCTGCCCTGAGGCTTGTGTAAGAGAAAACAGACTAGAATGTGTGATCTTCGAGAAACTCAGTACTGCGTTTATTACATGCTTTCTCCATTTGACGCACATTTTTAATTTATTAAAGCGGAATCAGAGAGAAAATAGGCAAAAACCCTGAATCCTACTTTGCTACGATGGACAGATTTCATCAGTTTTTGAAAACCTTACCCTTATTTACTGAAGAAGAGACTCATTCAGCTGTCGTAGCCTTTCTTCTTTCTTTAGATAGAGGGGGTCAGTTTTCATGGGCTATCAAAGTGGGGTTTATTTTCCCTTCAGACTAAGCACTTTTAGATGAAAGCACAGGAACTGGCCAGGTGTTATTCCCTGAGAGTTGGCGGTTCCTTGGAGTCTTGTCAACGTGCACCTCCAGTTGTATTTTTTCTTCTGTTACTTTTTTCTGTAACTATTTTGCAAACCAGTGTGTTAATTTGCATTTTTATTTTATGCAGATGATGTGATGCCAGCCACTTACTGTGAAATTGACTTAGATAAAGAAAAGAGAGATGCATTTGTATATGCTATCAAAAATCACTACTGGTACCAGATGTACATAGATGACTTACCAATATGGGGTGAGTGTTGTATGTTATATTTAAAGTTTGAGAATATTTGCATAATAAGCAACATTTATGTAATGACTCTGTTAAGGTGATTATATACTAAATCAGTAAATGTGTTTTCACTGTTTTCCATAGCATAATTTTAATAGCAATTTTATGGTCCCCTGTTACTTGAAGGGTTTTTGACATTGCCAAACCTTAAGTGAAACTCCCTCAACATGTAATTTTTTTTTTTAGAATATCTTTTTTTATTGATTTTTTACAGAGAGGAAGGGAGAGGGATAGAAAGTTAGAAAAATCGATGAGAGAGAAACATCGATCAGCTGCCTCCTGCACATCTCCTACTGGGGAAGTGCCCGCAACCAAGGTACATGCCCCTGACCGGAATTGAACCTGGGACCCTTCAGTCCGCAGGCCGACCCTCTATCCACTGAGCCAAACTGGTTAGGGCTCAATATGTAATTTTTATGCAGTATAACTTTTCCTATTCAAGGGATTAAAAGTTGCTTTGAACAATCCAAAATATTTCCCCTCCCTCCATTTTTCTCACATCTTATTTTGACTTGCACTGCCAAATGCAATCAAAGGAACTAAATAGGACTTTGAAATTTTATTCTGGTTTTGTTTCATGTGGAACTGTGGTAGTATGGGTTTTAGATATGATAGGTTCCTGAATGACTTGTTTTGCTAGTTCCTATGTTATTTTATAAAACTCTATATGTTTAAAATTTTTCTGTTTTAGCTTTTTTTCTGCTTAATTTTTTTGTTTAGTTTGTTTATCTCTATTAATGGAGAAGAGCTATGGCATAATCCAAACATTGTTTGTGTTAGACTTGTTAAGTTATTTAAACTGTGAAGCACAGGCAGCTATCATAGCTAGCATGTTTGGTCACATTTTTTTGTTAGTGGTTTTTATGTTAGCCTTTTCTGGGTGGTGGTGGTGGTGATAGAATTGGAACACCTGTTTCTATGTAAAATTAATACTCTGATTCTTAAAATTGTTAGCAGACTACTATATTCATGAGCAGCAAACTGAAAGACTGCACATATAAATAAGATCAGAGTTTAGTGTGGTACTAAGATGAAATTTATACAAAAGTTAATCTTAGGATATAATTGTATGCGTCATCGTTACTGTGTTGCATGTTAATTAGGTATAAATAGCAAGCATTTCATATAAATGACTGTAATTAGTATTACATTAAAACAGACATTTCTGTGATCAGTTCTGAGGGTATCAGGAAGACATGGAAATTTTGCTAATGATTTCTGAGCCTGTAGTTCAGGAGAACCCATTAGTTTGGCTTTCCTTTTTTTTTGGTGAGATACCAGGCTCCTCTGCTAATCTTCTCCATTGCTTATGAGTTTCTTATCTGGAACCTTAGGTTTCTTTCAGTTATTTCTGTGGGCCTCCTTACAATATGTCAACTATACTTTCTTGTCTTAAATCTTCTTTAGCCCTGGGATTCCAGGGTCTGCCATATTTAGGGGAGATTCTTTTGGGTGTCCTAGAATGTCTGAACCATGTGAATTCTTCTCAGAAAATAATTTTTTATCTGGCTTTTCTTGGGGTAAAGGTTTGAAACTTTTAAAAGCCCCCTTGAGAATAGCTTTTTACTTGCTGTAATTGTATCTCTACCTCCAGAGTAGATAGATAAACAAACCTTGATGAAATTATTAGGATTTTATTACTTCTCTACAGCCCCAAACAAAACAAAACTGTATTACTTAAATCTGTACCAATTAGAGCAACTTTAGTTAATAAAAATAATCCTTTAAGAAATAATCTCCCCCTTTCCCCTCCCTCCCCATAATACTTTCATGAAATGCGTTGATCATAGAGGAAAGGCCTTAAGGATTAACTTTAAGCATAAGGCTTCTGGGAAGTATATAGGCTTGGGTAGGGAATATTGGATAAATAGCTGATAGTAGTATATGGGCACAAGAGATAGATCGTCAGCTACCACTTAGCTGCCCTCACACTGTTTAGGTCTAACTCTTCCAATATCCTAGTTGTGACCAAAGTGATCATTTTAAACTATTGCCTCATTACCATTTATCTTCAACACTTCTTTCATTTTTTTTATCTATCTATCTATCTATCTATCTATCTATCTATCTATCTATCTCCTATCTAATAATAGACAAACACGGTAATTGACCGTACCTTCGCTATGCCTCCCATTGGCTAATCAGTGCGATATGCAAATGAACCACCAACAAAGATAGCGGCTAATTTGCATACTGCAGGCAGGGCAGGTCTGCACCATCCCGCCTGCCCCGCTGCCATCCAGGCCTGCTATTTGCCACCCGGGGCGGTGGGGTGGGACAGCGCCATCCTGCCTGACCTGCCACCATCCGGCATCCCATGTGCGACCCGACCCGGGGTGGCTGGGTGGGGCAGCAGCGATCTGTTGGCCTGCTCGGGCATCCTATGTACGACCTTACCCAGGGCGGCAGGGCGGGACAGCATGGCTACTCTGTCACCCCAGCTTCCTCATCACAGCTCCCTTGGGGGCCTAAGCCTTTAGTTGGACATCCCCCGAGGGCTCCTTGGCTGCCAGAAGGATGCCTGACTGCAAGCTTAGGCCTGATCCCCTGGGGAGTGGGCTTAAGTCGACAGGTGGACATCCCCCAAGGGGTCCTGGACTGCAAATGGGCGCAGGCCGGGCTGAGGGGCTCCTCCTCCCCTCCAAGTGCACAAATTTTTGTGCACCGGGTCTCTAGTATATATATAAAAGGCTAAGCGACTGTCTGACCGGCTGGTAGGTATGACACGCACTGACCACCAGGGGGCAGACGTCTGCTCAATGCAGGAGCTGCCAAGCTGCAGTGACTTGGCAGCGGAGGTACTTGGGTGATGCACCCTGGAACCAGAGAGGAGGGAGCCCGATTCCGTGATGCATCACCCGAGAGCTGCCCTCTCGCAATCCAGGACCCCTCGGGGGATGTCGAAGAGCCGGTTTTGGACCAGTCCCCGCAGGCCAGGCTGTAGGGACCCTGCTCACTCTGCAGATGCCCTTGTAGCCACAGCACAGCCCCAGGTGCGGCCGGCCAGGGAGGGGCCGCAGGAGGTTGGCTCCAGGGCATGTCCAGCCCATCTCACCCAGTCCCGCCTCACCGGCCACCTTCTAATTAATTTCCTTTACATGTGCACGAATCCGTGCACCAGGGCACTAGTTGAAGTATAATTGACTTATTATATTCATTTCAGGTGTACAACATAGCAATTCAATATTTATATACATTATGCAGTGATCACCATGATCATAGTTATCTTTTGTCACCATATAGAATTATTACAATACTAGAGGCCTGGTGCATGAATTTGTGCCCGGGTGGAGTCCAGTCGGCCAGCCCCGATTGGAGCCGATTGGGGGCCGGGCCAGCGGTGGGGAGGGAGGGAAGTTGGGGGGGGGGAGGCTGCGGGAGCTTGGCCGGCCCCACCTCTGAAGGGGGGGCCTATTGGAGCCAGGCTGGTGCTGGGGGGAGGGGCCACAGGAGGTTGGCCAGCTGGCCCCACCCCTTACGGCCGGTTGGCTGGCCGCAGTGTGTGTCATAGTGACCAATCGTTCCGGTCGCTTGGCTTTTATATATATAGATTATTGACTATATTCTCTATGCTGTTTGTTTCTTTCCCATGACTTATTTATTTTATAACTAGAAGTTTATACCCTTTAATCCTTTCATGTATATTGCCTATGTTCTCTTCTCCTGTCCCTCTGGCAACCACCAGTTTGTTCTCTGTATCTGAGTCTGTTTTTGTTTTGTTTTATTTGTTCATTTGTCTTGTTTTTTAGATTCCACATATAAGTGAAGTCATATAGTATTTGTCTTTCTCTGTCTGACTAATTTCATTAAGCATTATACTCTCTAGGTCCATTTATGTTGTGGCAAATAGTAAGATTGCATTATTTTATATGGCTGAGTAGTATTCCATTGTGTATATGTACCACATCTTCTTTATCCACTCATCTATCATTGCATACTTAGTGTGTTTCCATATTTTGGCTATTGTAAATAATGCTGCAATGAACATAGGGGTGCTGAATTGGTGATGCTGAATTAGTGTTTTTGTTTTCTTTAAATAAATACCCCAAAGTGGAATTGCTGGGTTGTATTGTAGTTCTATTTTTATTAATTTTTTGAGGAACAGCATGAAGCTCCTAGTGACTGCACCAGTTTATATGCCCTCCAACAGTGTCTGAGGGTTCCTTTTTCTTTACATCCTAACCAACACGTATTTTATGCCATTTTGATAATAGCCAGTCTGACAGGCGTGAGGTGGTATATCATGGTTTTGATGTGCATTTCCCTGCTGATTAGTGATGTTGAGCATCTTTTCATGTGCCTGTTGGTCATCTGTATGTCTTCTTTGGGAAAATGTCTGTTCAGGTCTTCTGCCCATTTAGATAATTTTTAAATTTATTTATTAAAGTGATTGAGGTGACATTGGTCAACATGAACATACAGGTATGGTTTCTATGTCACAAGATCTGTATATTGCACCTTGGGCCTACTACCCAAAGTCAAATCTTCTCCTGTCACCTTATATTCTGCCCATTTTTAAGTTGGATTTTTTTTTCTTTTTTTGATATCTGGTTGTATGAGTTCTTTATATACTTTGGATATTGACCCTTTATTGGATAAACCATTTGCACATAATCTTCTCCCCTTTTCAGTTTGTTGAGTGTTTCCTTTGCTGTGCAAAAACTTTTTAATTTGGTTAGTCCTATTTGTTTATTTTTGCTTTTGTTGCCCTTGCCTGAGGAGACATATTCAAAAAAATATTGCTAAGACTGATGTCAAAAAGTTTACTGCCTATGTTTTCTTCTAGGACTTTTATGATTCCAGGTCATCTTTCATTTTAATGTAGTCCAGAACTTGAGCTATAAAAAAAGAGGCATTTTAAGTTTTGGTACTCATATACACATTTGCACAGCTTATTGAGAATGGGTAAATCAGGTTATTAGAGAAAGTACTGGACTGGGCCTGTGGAGACCTTAGTTTTAATTTTAATTTGACTACATTTTCTGAAATTTTGAACTGTTGTGGGTATACACAGATAAGGTGATAATTATTATAATGAAGGTGCTACTAATGAACTTCAAGAATCAAATTAGTGATAGTTATATTGATAGGTTATATATCACTTTTTATTTTTTACCATGTTGTGTCCATGGTTTGTGTTAGCCACGTAGTTAACAAAGAGTGGAAGTCCAGCCTGCAATTTTGCCTTATTCTAACTATGAGGAATAATGATAATATTGCTTTTTTATAAAAACATTTTATGATATTTTGGTTCTAACCTATTTTAAATATTAAGTGAAATTACCTTGTATAACGTGTTATTTCTTTTGTAGGTATTGTTGGTGAAGCAGATGAAAATGGAGAAGATTACTATCTTTGGACCTACAAAAAACTTGAAATAGGGTTTAATGGTAATCGAATTGTTGATGTTAATCTAACTAGTGAAGGAAAAGTGAAATTGGTTCCCAATACTAAAATCCAGATGTCATATTCAGTAAGTATTTAAATAATTTGATATAGGGAAGAAGGGTTTGTGACCTAATATAAAAAATTAAGTGCATTTTTCAATTTTAGTAAATGGAAATATAGCTTGAAATTGGATGACAAGAAATATTATTAAAACTGTTTCCTCAATGTATGTAAGTAAGCCTCTTAAAAGCAAGGAGATATGTTTCAGGTCTATAGAAGTAGATACCAATTATGCATTTGCAGTACCTACCATTTGCTATAGCAAATTTTACTATTGTAACTGGGCAGCTAATGAACCTAGTCATGTATTTTTATGGTTACAATTGAGATCGCAGTGTTCCTTGTTTTCTTTCCCTTTTACTATTTCAGATAGAGATGATGATGTATTGAAAAGTACTGGATGAGTATAGTTTACTATTTTTGCTCTATCAATTGGAATAAAATGTTCCTGCAGAGTAAGAGCTTGTCAGAGTCCTTTGTGACTGTCAAGTTAATTCTCTTCCATTACAATTAAAAGTAGTGTAAAGAAGAGAAATCTGATGTAGGTCGCTTCTCTCTTTGCCATTTTTTTTTTTCTGGTAACTGGAATGAGTCAATTGGTAGTAGCCAATTTTGAAAGTTTTTCAAGCTTTGTACGTAAGTACCTACTGCAGATCATATTTGCACAACTGAAGTAATGAAGAAATGTGATAATTATAACTATTGCAATCTAAAGATAAAGACATACAGATTCTTATTTTAATTGGTCTGATTGAGTTCACATTTATTGAGTCAGAATATATAAGTCAGCAATAGTTAATTCTTGAAAACTGAAATGATTCTTCTAAGTAAAGTTGTAAGTTTTATTATTACAGAGGAAAGTTGGTTATTTTATCATATATCTTTCAACTTCTGAAATTGGTAGTAATTTTCTACCATTTCTGTAATTTCTTATTCTAAGTATGTAAATCGTTTCAAATTTTTGCTCAGAGTTTTGTTATCAGATTATTAGTTTGTTTACTGGCCTTGATTTTCAAATGAAAACTTTTTTTTCAGGTAAAATGGAAAAAATCAGATGTAAAATTTGAAGATAGATTTGACAAATACCTTGATCCATCTTTTTTTCAACACAGGGTAGGTAAATTGTGTATTTTAAGATAATCAATATGTGCTCCAGTCAGTTTAACGAACATTAATGAGCATTTGCCATATGTAGGGCACTGTGCTAGGGCTGTGGATTTCAAAGATACAACTAATGAGCTCAGTGTGGAAAAGATGATAGGAGGAGGTCTGGAGGGGAAAGTCAGAGTACAGTTTAGGACGTGTTTGTTTTGCAGTGTCTGTAAGACATTCAAATAGAGATACCGACTAGCCAGTTGGATATATCAATCTGGAGTTCAGTCAGGAGAGAGGTCTGGGTAGAGATACAAATTTTGCAGCCATTGGCATGCACATAGTAGTATATAAAGCTATGAGACTGGATGCAATTACCAGGGAAGAGTATGTAGAAATAGAAGAGGATTAAGGACTGAGCCCTGGGGGCAGTAATAAACGTTGGGGAAGAATAGGGGAAAGAGAAATCAGCTAAGGGCTTTGAGGACATACCAGTAAAGTAGAGGGGGAAAGATTGTATGGTATTCCTGGAAATCGAGAGAAGAAAGTGTATAATGAAGGATAGAGAGATTAGTTCTGAATTGTTGCTGATGGGTCAAGTAAGAAGGGTTCTGAAAGTGACTATCGGATTTACCCAGAGTCAGTGGTGAACTTGACAAAGTTGTTTTGGTGTGGTGGTGGGGCAAAATCTGAATAGAGCCATTGTAAGAGAATGAGAGGAGAAGATTTGAAGACAGCAAGTTTGGCTGGTAAAGAGAGCAAAGAAACGGTACAATAGCTAGTAGAAAAGTAGGAGTCAGGAGATTTTCTTTTTTTGAGATGTAAGAAAAACATGTTTATATGTTGAATAGGGTTCAGTAGAGAGTGCAAAATGGACAGTGCAGGAAAACGGGAGAATTAACTACAGGTTTTCCTTAAGTAGGCAGCATGGGATCTATCACATAAGTGCAAGGATTGTTTCTAATACAATGACTACAAGTGTAGGCTTAGGCGCTAGAGCTGATACAGTCTGTCTGCCACCAACTATAACCTTGGTCAGATTACTCAGTTCTTGAGCTTCTGTCTCCTTAGTAGTGAAGCAAGGATTATAATACATTGCGTAATTGCTGTGAAATTCCATTTGATAGTGTATTATAAAGTACTTCGTTCAGTGTTTGACACATAGCAGGTGCTCAGGACAGGCAGCACTGGTGCTGTAGTTAGCTCTTCATCTCCAGTGTGAAAATTCATGACAAACCTGGGCTCTGCTTTAAGATTAGCAACACTAGAGGGTGCTGGAGTCAGCAGTTTGTGGAGTTAGTAACTCCTTTGTGACATCTGATTTCTTTATTATTTTAAAAAAACATTCCTTATAATTAAAAATCACAGTACGTCATCATTTTTTGAATTAGTGGATATTATGAAGTGTCAGGTTATTAGTGGTACATTATAATAGGTATTGGCTTGAAGTTCAAATATTTGATTAGAAAATACAGAGTTTTGTTAGAAATATTAGCAGTATAATAAGATCATCTTTTCTCTTTTGTCTTTTTTTGGGTCATTAATTTTCCAGGTTGGGAACAAAATAAAATCTTGGGAAAAGCCTATAATTATAGGCTGCTTTTATAAATTTTGAATGATACTTTTGTGATAAACTTAAGTTTATGTAACCTTTTTTTTTGCAAATATTTCAAAATATAATGCATTCATTATTTTCTTTATAATATTAGTAAGTATACATTAAATTGTTTAATGAAGAAAGAGATCTCATGAAGAGGCAGGGGCAATTGGCCGTCTCCTGTTTTTCGGGGAGAGCCATAGATTTGTCACTTGCCTGAATCCTCAGGGTGGGTAACAGCCAGGGCTGTCTTTCACATGAGTGCACAACTCAGCATATTGCCACCAGTTAAAATCTATCCTAATTATAGAAGACAGTGTCTTCTTCATGTTAAAAAGTCTATGTATATATTTGCAAAAGTTTAGAGCAGGAGTATGTCTATGAATAACTAGACTATGTCAATGAGAGATTGTATGGAAGAAAGGGTTGTTGAGTTGGGCTTTAAACGGTAGTAGAATTTTCATATGTGGACAGAAGCAGATCCCATGTGAAAGGAATTATAAGAAAGCTACATAGGTGGAAATGAGTATGCTGTACTTGTGGGTCACTGAGGAAGAATATGCCTGATTGGAATATAGGATACAATGGAAAGAAAGGTTGGCTAAATAAAGTGAGGTGGCCATATTACAAAGGGTACAGAATATTAGGGAAATAGCTTATGTTTGATGTGTGAGAAAATAGGGAGTCACTGTAAGTTTTAGAGCAGTGATATATGAACATGATGTTTCAGAAAAATTCACTGGGTAACTTTTTTTAAATTTTTTTTTTATTTTATTGATTTTTTACAGAGAGGAAGGGAGAGAGATAGAGAGTTAGAAACATCGATGAGAGAGAAACATCGATCAGCTGCCTCCTGCACATCTCCCACTGGGGATGTGCCCGCAACCCAGGTACATGCCCTTGACCGGAATCGAACCTGGGACCTTTCAGTCCGCAAGCCGACGCTCTATCCACTGAGCCAAACCGGTTTCGGCAAGTTTTTTATAGAGAGTTAGAAACATCAATCAGCTGCCTCCTGCACACCCCCTACTGGGTATATGCCCGCAACCAAGGTACATGCCCTTGACTGGAATTGAACCCGGGACCTTTGAGTCTGTAGGCCGACGCTCCATCCACTGAGCCAAACCAGTTAGGGCCTGGGTAACTTTTTATAGAACAGTTTGAAAGGAAGGGGAGAGACCAAAAATAAAGAAGGCCAACTAGGAGGCCACTAGAATTATCAGGGCGTGAGGGGATGGCATGGGAATGGAGAGGAAGGGTTAGATGCAAGAGACATTCCAAAGTTTAAAAAAAAAAAAAAAAAGGTTAGTAATTATTACCAAGGAAGGATTAAGGAGAAGGAAGAACCAGAGATAATTTCAGATTCTCAAAGCCAAATGTTAGTATCATTAGTAGAAGTTAGAAGTCAGAAGAGAGTTGTTATATGTGAGGTGGAAGATTAATAGTTTATTTTAGGGCAGTCTGAAATTCCAGAAAGACATTCAAGTGGAAATGATCAGAATTAGCTAAAGTCTGAAACATGAATGGGAGAAAAAGAGCTAGAGATTTGGGGCGGGGTGGGGTAGGTGGCAGAGGGTGTTACCATCATCATTGGAATTCTAGTTAAAAGTTCTGAGAGCCCCAGGAAGTCTCTGCTGAGTACCAAGACTGAAGCTTTCGAAAAGTTCACAAAGGTGGGAGGAGCTGGCATCAAGGATGAAAGAGGAGAAGCAGCAGTTAGTGAAGTAGGATGGCATAGTGTCAGCAAAGATCAAACATGGCAGGGAGAGCAAGGAGAGTGGCGGCAACTAATTGACCGCTGAATCACTGAATTGACTTAGATGTTCATTGCAGATCTTTGAGAGAAATTTTGTGGGACAAAGTGAGATGGCATTGTGTTTAGGAGTAAGTGAGGGAAAATAGGGATGTAGTCTCATTTAAAAAGTGTTGCCATTGAAAGGAGGGAGGTAAAAAGATTGAAACAGTGAGTAGACAAAAGATCAGGCCAACACTTTGAAAGATAATAGTAATAACAACTTAAAATTTTTTTAGTGTTTTACTATATGTCAGGCACTAGTCTATGTTTTAAAGCCAAATTATACTTTATTTGTATAATAAATTTGATTGTGAAAATCTCAATAAACAATATCATGTTCTTAGTGTATCTGAAACTTACTGAAAACAAATTCCATTGTATAGTGAATACTCATCCCCAGTGTGTCTGAAGTTTGGATTTTTATGTAAAAGTTAAAAATTTTTTTTTGTATTAGCATCCCATACTCTTCATGGGACCTGTGAATTTTGTGACTGCTATTTTTATGTAAGTAATATTTTCTGTTCTTTTTAGATTCATTGGTTTTCAATTTTCAACTCCTTCATGATGGTTATCTTCTTGGTGGGATTAGTTTCAATGATTTTAATGAGAACTTTAAGAAAAGATTATGCTCGGTACAGTAAAGAAGAAGAAATGGATGACATGGTGAGCATACATTTTATATTGTACTTATAAAAACAAATTAACTCAATATTACTGTGTTTTGAATGTTGGATAGTAGGTCCACAATCTTGAGGTCAGGTAAGTTTCAGAATTCAGAATTTTCAGGTTTTAGAAAGGTGTAAACTCTTGGCGGGGATCTCTAATCAAATCTTAATTTTTTCAGCAAAACATATGAATGTTCACCCTAGGTGGGATAAACAGTATAAATAACCCATTGTTAATTCAGTCCAAGTTTTGCCTCAAAATAAGGATATGCCAAATTTATGAAACAAACTCAGTTTTCAGAGCTTTTGATTTAAAAATTGCAACTAGGAGGTTGTAGATCTGTGTTGGTGTCTTTTTAATACTATTAAATATTGTATACAATTCAGGGAGTTGGCAAAAGTATTAATTCACATTTAGTTTAAAACAAATGGGACTACATCAATAGGGAGGTGTTTGTTTTCTACATATTTTTACAAAATTACAGACCAACTAGTGCCCCGGTGCACGGATTCGTGCACATTGAAAGGAAATTAATTAGAAGGTGGCCAGCGTGGCGGGACTCAGTGAGATGGGCCAGACACGCCCTGGAGCCAACTTCCCATGGTCCTGCCCCGGCCAGCCAAACCTGGGCAGCACCTCGGCTCAAAGGGCGTCTGCAGAGTGAGTGGGGTCCCTCTGGCAGGTGGGATCCCTCAGCCTGGCCTGCAGGGATCAGGCCTCTCCAACATCCCCTGAGGGGTCCCGGATTGCAGACTGCAAGGGGGCAGTTCTCGGGTGACTCATCCTGGAACCCTAGGGTGCGTCACCTGAGAACCGCTGCTGCCAAGTCACTGCAGCTCGGCAGCTCCTGCCTTGAGTGTCTGCCCCCTGGTGGTCAGTGAGCATCATAGCTACCGGTCAGAGCATCTACCCCCTGGTTGTCATTGCGCATCATAGCTACCAGTTGGATGGTTGCTTAGCCATATATATGTAGATATATATAGCTATATATTGTGAGAAAAAATGTATTCTGTAGGATGTTAATGGCTGTTCTATGAAGATATGCTCCATCATTAAATAAGTTGGGAAACAGTTAAAGAGATTTAAATTTTAATATGCTAATGTGCATTGTGAAGTAGCAGAGGGTAGATAAAATATTTGGTGCTTCTCAAACATATCTGACCAGGATCTCCCCCCACAAAGTCAGATTATCCTGAGGGGCTGTTATTTCTTTAAAAACATTGTTTTAGATACTTGTTTACTCAGGTTGGAAAGAAAATTAACCAAAGAACATATGCATATTTCATAGATACAGATAATATAATGGGGAAGGTCTGAGTGGGGTGGAGGTTAGGTAGAGGTGGGAAAAAAGGGAAAAAATGGAAGACATCTGTAATATTGTCAACAATAAAAATAAAAAAATAAGGAAAAACAGAGTATCTTAAAAATACCATTTATTTAAAAAATTATTATTCAACTGTTCAATATTTTCCCCATATGTTTTCTTAGATTCCAGGCTATAAAGGACATTTCTGCACTGTTAGGGCATCTAGTACTGGTTTTGATACTCTTCTTCTTTTCCACCTGGCCCCTGGTCACATATGAGCCACAGTCATGATGCAAATGCAAGAGTAGTGTCTGAAAGTGATGTTAAGAGTGTCAGTGTGCTATTCTCCCAATTTCACCATTTCTTTTTGCTGTAGACTATTTTCTTTTTCATTCTTTGATATTTCTCGGAGCAGAATCAGAAAGCACCTTCCTGGACCTCAGTAAAAGTTATTAAGGCAGTGATTATTTTAAATTTGACATTTTTTTTCTTGATATGTTGAACAGCTTTAAATAGCTGTAAGTTTGGAGAGAGGAAACTTACAATTCTAATTATAATTTTCACTTATTTTCTGTATTTTCATTCTGAATGATTTTTCTCTTCTGTCTACATATTTATGTATTTAGGATAGAGACCTAGGAGATGAATATGGATGGAAGCAGGTGCATGGCGATGTATTTAGACCATCAAGTCACCCACTGATATTTTCCTCTCTCATTGGTTCTGGATGTCAGATATTTGCTGTTTCTTTCATTGTTATTATTGTTGCAATGATAGAAGATTTATATACAGAGTAAGTGCTTGTACTTTATTACTTTTTGTTGCTCTTGAATCATTTTAATAATTGGAACCTTTTAAAAAGTCAGGCATAATTAAATATTTGCTTATTACAATTCTTAGGATTTAAATAGCATAAATGTCATTATTGAGAGAAATTAAATAATGAACAGTAATCTTCATGTATAAGTATATTTTTCTGTTAAATGCTAAAACTTACTAGCCTTACTGAACATTTTGGTTGGTTAATAAAGATTATGTCCCATTAGAGGTATGAGAGAGTTACTTGAGTCCAGAACTATTTGACAAAGTGTATAAGGCATTTTTTTTTAAGCCAAAGATCCAGTTAGATCTTCATAAGAAGCACAAGGTTTGCACAGTACTTCCTATATTTTCTATATTTAGAACATATTTTGCCTTCCTAGTTATAGTGAGTTTCAGAAATGGTATTTATTGTTAGTGGGTTAAATACATTTCTGTGTTATGTCAAGTGATACTGTCATTTAATTTAATTTTTCTCTTTGCAATTAGGCATTTAAAAAATTTTGTCTAGTTTTACTCAAGAGGGTTGGTCTGAATATCCTGGATATCATTATTGTAAGGGGAGGTTAGAAATTGTTGAACTGAATGAAGTTGATTAGTGGACCAATGCAGCTTTTAACTGTATAAGGAAAACTAAATAAAAAAAAGTCTCGTTATACCATTTAAAGTAATAACAATAATGTAATAGATTATACTACTTATGTTGTATTTCTGTCAGCAGGCAAGAAACTTAAGCAGTTAAATTATAAAGAGGAGTATTCTAATTATTTTTCTTAACAGATGAATATCCTTTTCCATATGATGTGATTGGCTCACAGGGTTGCAAAATCAGTTTTAGTGCCAGCTTCTAATATTTGCCAAAGAAATATAACATACAGGGTGGGAAAATGTAGGTTTACAGTTGAGTTCATGAAACAGTTTTTTCATGTATTAATTGTATTATTTTCCATATAAACAACTATAAACCTGTTTTTTCCCCCCTCCCTGTATTTCTTCAGAATATATTATGAAATTTACTGCAGTTTTAAAAAAAATGAGGATCATCATCCTGTACCATTTAAGTGTAATTTTAACTGGAAATTCATTCACTAGGCAATCTTTTGAGGTCCTTTGCAGTCCAGGGTGGTATTTATATTTTTATTGATTGATTTTTAGAGAGGCGGGGGAAGTGGTGGAGACAGAGACAGACAGACATCGATTTGTTGCTCCACCCATTTGTTCATTCATTGGTTGATTCTTGTGTGTATCCTGACCAGGGATTGAACCCCCGCACCCTTGGTGTTATCAGGATAATGCTCTAACCAACTGAGCTACCCAGCCAGGACCCAGGAGGATATTTTTGTGTTCCTGTTAAATTTAACTTTGAAATTAAACTGATGTTAATGTGATAGGTTATATGATATGTTCTTCAAGTTGTTGGTTTTAGTTTATCTTACACATCTTTTCACCTTCTTAGGAGGGGATCAATGCTCAGTACAGCCATATTTGTCTATGCTGCTACGTCTCCAGTGAATGGTTATTTTGGAGGAAGTTTGTATGCAAGACAAGGAGGTAACTTAAGAGTTATCAATTTGTATTTTTAATTATAGTTGCTAATATTTTATGGTGAGGTATTTCAAATTTAAAACAGGCAATACAGGCATTGTAAAATTCTTTGCTATCCCATTTCACATAATCTCCTTCAAACCTATTATGTGTTCTATCTAGCCTTTATGGGTCCTCCTTGCATTTTATTTTCCAAAATTGTGAACAATGAATAGATTCTTTCCATTGCTTACTAAGCAGTTAGGTCTGAGGAACATGTAGTAGAAAGTATATATAAGTTATTGATATTATTTTACTTTGAGGTGCCTAGCTCCCTACATGTGCTCCATGGGAGGCCTCCACATAGAGTTTATAGCTTTATAGTTGAATATAAAGGCATGTTTTATGGTTTATGGATAAAGTGTGGACAGTGGAAAGAGAATGGGAAGTATAGCTCTTTATTTCTGTTGACTCTTCAATGTTTATCAAAGGACCCTGCACAAAGATTTCTGTTATTCTGTGTCACAGTCTTTTGCTTATGAGCACTTTTATTTTAAATACTCCCTTGTTTCTTTTGTGACCTGGAATGATGGGGGATACATGGGTGATACAAGGGTACTTGATTTTTGCTGTTTCTTTCTATGATGGCATTTAAGGGTCCTTGGGTTATTTGTTTTCCCTGTAATTGTCAAGGTCAGAAATGTGCTGAAAGTAGTAGATTTGGATAGTTCAGGTTATGAATGAAGGACCTGAAATCACATTCCTAAGGATAAGACTTCCTAATGTGATTTTTCTCAGCCGATCCTAAGCAATGTCAGCATTAGGTGATTCTGTTTTAGTAGATCAGACTTATTGGTTATAGGAGTTCAGCGTAAAATCATTGAAAATTCCTCCAGGAAATCCTAGTTTATCATTTCTTTTTATTGTTCTGTACCTTCAATTTAGGTGATTCTTTGGATTGCCTGAGGTAGTATCATCATGAATTCCTGAGTATTTTAGTTAGGTGGTCAGCCTCTACATTCTACCTCCAAAAAGGGAGAAATGAGTCTTATCCTATAGGACAGTGATGGCGAACCTTTTGAGCTTGGCGTGTCAGCATTTTGAAAAACCCTAACTTAACTCTGGTGCCGTGTCACATATAGACATTTTTTGATATTTGCAACCATAGTAAAACAAAGATTTATATTTTTGATAGTGATTTTATATATTTAAATGCCATTTAACAAAGAAAAATCAACCAAAAAAATGAATTCGCCTGTCACCTCTGACATGCGTGTCATTGGTTCGCCATCACTGCTATAGGACTACCATCCTGAGAAAATAAGGATGCCTAAAGCAACTTCTATTTTGAATTTGATCTGAAAACTAGTTAGACTGAGATTTTTACAGTTGATGAGCCCCCAGAAAAGTCTCCACAGCAGAAACAGATTTATTGAAAACAGGAATTTTATTCCTATGTGGACATAAATTTGCTTTTAATCTGATTGCAAGTTAAGAACACCCAGCCAGACTTAACTATACTTATGCTTGAAAGCTGACAGAGTTCAAACAAAAGCCCCTAGGAGTATCAAATCTTACCAAGAATAATCTAAAGGTTATTGTCTGATTGACAGTGCCCTGAGGAGGCCTGATTGTGTTCTCATATGAAGCCAAGTTAATATAGAGGTCAGCTCAGAGAATCAAGAATTTTCAGAGTTAAGGATTTGAACGACAATGTAGCTCAGGGTCTTCACACTGTTCTCAATGCACTGGATAATGCTCCAGACCCAATTTGAAGCTGGGGGTGGCCTGGGACTTGAGCGGAATGTCCAAGGGCATGGTGAATGGTAGGAAACACTGCAATGCAGATTCCTGGGCTACTGGTTGTACCCTGTGGAATGTAGGTGGGATTCTTTCTGACTGTTGGAAGGAAAGAGAGATAGAGTTTAATATGGAATTTATTAATTCTTGCCTGAATCTGAGAAGATAATGGAAAGTACAGGAAAAGAAAGTGCCAGGAAACACTTGGAATTTAATCGGAGAAATAATACATAACATTAATTAGTTGCTACCCTTTTGGTGTTGTACAAATGGTGGGTATTTGGAAGGGAGGGGTTCTTGAAACTTCACTGAGAAAGAAATTAAATAAAGGAGAAAATTCAGAGTCAAGGAGTTTTTCTTGAGAAAAGTAAAGATTTGGGGTAGTACCTCTGTGAGGCAGATATTTAAAAAGAGCTTTATATAGAAAAAGAAAACAAAAATTAGGTTATTGTTTGTATTTTCTCTAGTGTTTTCTGTTTGGGTCACTATTGCTTATGATTGTGCGGCTGAATGATAACAGTGAGCCAGTGTTAAATCTGTCCAGTTTGTCCCTAAGCAGTATGAAGATGCCTCCACGGCAGTGTGCTTGCTTGTGCCCTCTGCTGTGTTATAGAAAGGTAGCTCAGGGTGCTTTCTTGGTCACTGAATGGGATTTAAAAATTTTTATTGCTTAGTTTAAAAATGACTTCCCTTTGTTGTTTAAATAATAGGTGCTCACCGCATAGAATTTTGGCAATACAAAGAGGTGCAAAGAAATAACAAAACTTATGCATCTATAGTTCTAATTGCCGAGAGAGCTCATGAAACACATTCCATTGTTTTTTTTCCTTTTAAAACATGGAAATACATTTAAATATATATTTATAATTATAATGAGAGAGCTAAGAGTAAATTTAGGGACTGTTTAACCTAGGGTTTTTTTATTTTTATTTTTTTAAAGCAGTGCAACCCTCTTTCCCAGTGAAGCTTCCCTGAAACCCCAATGTGTGAAACTGTAAAATTGAACTTACTCTGGTTGAAGCAAGGCTTGGTGACCTGGGCTCTTTTTTCACCAACGAGTCCATTGGCACCTACAGGAAGCTCCAGAACTCCAAGCAACAGTTTGAAAACACCCTTCCAAGCCAACTTATATCCCAGAACGAACGAGTGGCTTACCAAAGTTCACAGCAGATCAGTAGCAGAATCAAGACAAAACATAAGAATATTTTACTAGTTCATTGCTCTTTTCCAGTACACGCTCTTCAAAAACTGCGTGTTTCCATTAGGTGCACTTGAATAGCCAGACTGGTCTTTACTAGCTATTGTTTTGAAATAGTTATTAGGAAGTCAAATTAGGAACTAAATAATCAGCTCTTAACTATTAATATATAATATCTATCTCTTTGATTTTCATAGTTTCCCTTCTCTTCCAGGAAGGAGATGGATAAAGCAGATGTTTATTGGGGCATTCCTTATCCCAGCTATGGTGTGTGGTACTGCCTTCTTCATCAATTTTATAGCCATTTATTACCATGCTTCAAGAGCCATTCCTTTTGGAACAATGGTAGGTTGCTTGAGTCATACTTTTAAACTGAAAAAGTATAAGCATTTTAATATGAGGCCTGAAATCTCTCCAAAGTACTTATTTTAAAATATATATATATATTTTTATTGATTTCAGGGAGGAAGGGAGAGGGAGAGAGAGATAGAAACACCAATGATGAGAGAGAATCATTGATCAGCTGCCTTCTGCAAGTCTCCCACTGGGAATTGAGCCTGCAACCCCGCCATGTGCCCTTGACTGGAATTGAACCCGGGACCTTTCAGGCCACAGGCTGATGCTCTATCCACTGAGCCAGACCGGATAGGGCTCCAAAGTGCTTCTTAATGAGCTTTAATAGTTATAGCCAGCCTTTACTCAGTCCTAGAAAGTTAGGTGAAGAAGAAAGTTCTTGTTAGTCTCCACACAGTTCTTGTTAACTTAACAAATACAGTTGCCCTTTTTTTTCTCTTGATTCTGTGAGCAAGTAAGGTGAAAGTCTGTCACCCTAGCCGGGTGGCTCATTTGGTTGGAGCATCATCCTGTACACCAAAAGGTTGCAGGTTCAATTCCTGATCGAGGCACATACCTGGTTTGCAGGTTCTATCTCAGATTGGGGAGCAACCGATTGATGTTTCCTTCTCTCATCAATAAAAATATATATTTGGGTGAGGATTTAAAAAACAAGTGAAAGTCTGTCTCTTAAGTATGACAGAGAGGACACAGTAATTTTTTTAAGAGATGGGTGGAACTGGTGAATATATTTCAGAGAAAGAATAACATATCAAGAAATATGGATGTTTTAAATGATAGGTGAGTGTAGTGGTAGGAAGCGAAGCTTCTTCATAACTTTTTTGTTTTCAGGAACTATACTGTTTTTAGAACCTCATTAAGCATTTATATTAATATATTACCAATATTAAAATCTTTTCACATATCCTTACCTGTAGTCAGACTTTGAAATTTTTTGAATTATTTAAATACATTAAAACACAGATATGCTGGTGCTTTACAGAGTCAACCATTATGGAAAACAGTATGGAGGTTCCTTAAGAAATTAAAAATAGAACTATCATATGATCCAGCAATTTCACTTCTGGGTATTTATCCCAAGAAAAAGAAAACAATAAGTTTTTAATTTCAAATCCAGTGTTTCTTCTATTATAGCACCAAAGTGGCCTAAGAAACAGAATGGAAGTTACTTATTAGCATGTCAAAGATACCTGATAAAGTTAGGCTTCTTACAGGTATTTGTTTTTGTTTTTGTTTTTTTTAAATTTTGTTTTATTGCTTAAAGTATTACAAAGAGTATTACATATGTCTCCTTCCCCTAAACATTGAACCTAAACATTTTCTTTTGTGATCAGGTTGTGTTTAAATTTTGTATCCCTTTAATTTATTTTTATTAATGTTATCATTCTGAGTAATCACATACATTTTAATTTAATTTACAGGTGGCCGTTTGTTGCATCTGCTTTTTTGTTATTCTTCCTCTAAATCTTGTTGGTACAATACTTGGCCGAAATCTGTCAGGTCAGCCCAACTTTCCTTGTCGTGTCAATGCTGTGCCTCGTCCCATACCGGAGAAAAAATGGTAAAGAAAATGCTAAATCTTATGTGACTGTTTCTCACAATATGGAAGTTGTTAAGGCTGTTATATGTATGCAACTTTTGGAATTGGATTGTTTTATAAGAATGACTATCTTAAGTTTTGACTTGATTTGTCTTTTTACATTTTCCTTTAACCTATTTGTTAGAAGTAGTAATACATTTTATCCTTATTTCAGTTTCTGAATATTAGTGCCATTTACAGATAAGTCAAATGCTTTGATAAGTATACTGTGTGTAAGGGTGGGTGAGAATTAAAGCTGCAACAGTTGTATAACTGCAGTCTACAGGCCTAATTTGACTTTCTGTTGTTTTTATTACAATAAGTCTTGTTGGAACATGCCTGTTCGTTCACATACTGTCCCTGATTGCTTTTACAGTGCAGCATTAGAGTTGAGAAAATTATATCAGAGACCATATCACTTGCAAAACCTGAAGTATTTACTATCTGAACCTGTACAGAAAAAGTTTGCCAATGCCTCATCATTTGATTTTCCTTTGTGGTTATTTATTATTCTAAACAATACTGGTATACACTTAGAGCCAGATATATTCTACCAAATGAGAGATGAATTAGGGTTGAGACCGATTGTAGTTTACTGACTTGCGGTCTTTATCTTCATTTCTGGAATACATAGAATCTCTCAAATACATTCTGTCACATTGTATGTATGCACAAACTGTGTTCTTGAGGCCCTCCTATAATTCAAAATTAATCCTGACAAAAGATGACAAGTATTTTTGTTTAACAGATGAAGAGACTCTTCAATTGCAACAGAGTAAACATAGTTTACAGTTTAATAGACCAATCAGCCTTCAAAATATGATTCTTGATGATTTTTAATTTGAGATGATTTGTATTTTTTCAAATTTTAGACATAAAATGAGATGCAACTAATATCTTTATATTTCTAATTCTTGCAATTATAATGTGAACTCAACATTTATATATTTGTCCTCTTAAAATTAGTAAGCTGAATATTATATATAATTAATATAATATTAAATTTAATATTTATTAAATTGATTTATTCTGTTCAGCATTCTTTTTTCCCCTAATTCTTACTATAAAAAAGGATGTACATTTATTACATTCCCCATCTCATAAGATTTGCTGTACAGAAGACTACATATTCATACTAAGGTGATATATTGAACCCTCTGTTCCTATTTCCCACATTATAAATGTAACATATTCAGGTACTTACACAATGTTTTGTAGACTTGGAGGAATGTAGACATTTATAGAAAGAAAGGCTGAATAAAATAGCTTCTATAGTTTAAAGGAGAGTCATCTGTGCTAGTCTTAGTAATTATCCTTGTTCTTTTTAGATTAGGCTTAAGAGAATTTTCTAGTCTGTTTTATAACTCAACTATATTTTTCAAATTTGATTGTTGAGGCCCATTGATATCCTGATGTTCACCTTTTACTGGGAGGATAAGTTTAAAGGAAAAGCATAGTCAGAAATCAAAATGGTTCTCTAGGTCACTAGGGCTAATAATGGAGAGGAAGGACAACACATGACCTTGTCAACCATGGATTAAATTTAGGTGTAGGAAGGCTTGTGTGTATTGTATTTTGCTTTATATAGACACATGGGAACCAAAATCTGAAGACTAGATCTGGCTCTCACTGTGTCATCTTGGGCAGATTTTTGTTTTGTTTTGTTCTTTGTTAAACCTCACCCGAGGATTTTTTTTAAATTGATTTTTAGAGAGGATGGAAGGGAGGAAGGGGGAGGAAGGGGGGGGGACACATCAATGTGAGAGGCATCCATTGGTTGCCTCCCACATGTGCCCCCTCGGGAACAAACCTGCAACCCAGATACATGACCTTGACCAGGGATTGAACCTGATACCCTTTGGTTCAAGGGCCGATGCTCTACCACTGAGCTACATTGGCCAGGGCTGGGAAAATCATTTTTAACCTCTATAGGTCTTTTTTTTTTTTTTTCCAATTTGGATGCCTTTTACTTCTTCTTCTTGCCGAATTGCAATGGCTAACACTTCCAGTACTATGTTGAACAGGAGTGGTGAGAGGGGGCATCCCTGTCTTGTTCCTGTTCTTAGGGGAAATGGTGTTAGTTTTTGTCCATTGAGTATGATGTTGGCTGTGGGCCTGTCATATATGGCTTTTATTATGTTGAGGTATGATCCTTCTACTCCCACCTTGCTGAGAGCTTTTATCAAAAATGGGTGTTGAATTTTGTCAAATGCTTTTTCTGTATCAATTGATATGACCATGTGGTTTTTTTCTTTCAATTTGTTTATGTGATGTATCACGTTTATTGATTTGCGGATATTGTACCATCCTTGCATCCCTGGGATAAATCCTACTTGGTCATGGTGTATGATCTTTCTGATGTACTGCTGGATCCGATTTGCTAAGATTTTGTTGAGGATTTTGGCATCTATGTTCATGAGGGATATTGGCCTGTAATTCTCTTTCATTGTGTTGTCTTTACCTGGTTTTGGTATTAGGGTGATGCTGGCTTCATAGAATGAGCTTGGAAGTGTTCCTTCCTCTTGAATTTTTTGTAGTAGTCTGAGGAGGATAGGTTTTAGTTCTTCCTTGAATGTTTGGTAAAACTCCCCTGTGAAGCCGTCTGGTCCTGGGCTTTTGTTTGCTGGAAGCTTTTTGATGACTGCTTCAATTTCTTCCATAGTTATTGGCCTGTTGAGATTATTAGATTCTTCCTGATTGAGTTTTGGAATGTTGTATTTTTCTAGGAATTTGTCCATTTCCTCCAGGTTGTCTAGTTTGTTGGAGTAGAGCTGTCCATAGTATTTTTTAACAATCGTTTGTATTTCTGTGGGGTCTGTTGTTATTTCGCCTCTATCGTTTCTGATTTTGTTTATTTGGGTCCTCTATAGGTCTTGACTTTCTATAAAATGAGGGAAGAAGACTAAATTAAATGATTTTTAAGTTTTTCCAGCTCTCAAATTCTTTTATTTTCCTCTCAGTTTTTTAGTTTGTTCATTCCAGAGATATTAGTTTAATACCATTTATGTGCCAGGTACTGCTGGGCACTGGGAATACCTAGCTGAATAGCTTCTGCCTGCCAGAGTTTATGGTCCAATGAGGTATGATATGTATGTCATTAGACAGGTACAGTATAGTGTGTTAACTGCTGTGGGGAGGTTATATTCAAAGGATAGTGGAAGGACTCTCCTCTTCCTGGGAGACTTAGAGAAGGTGTTACAGGGACACTTAAGCTAATACTTGCAGGGAAGTGTGAGACAAGATAAGCATTCCAGGTAGAGAATTACCAATTGCAAATAGTAAAATGTTTTTTGAGTGAATAAAGGAAGTTTGAAATTTAATTTTTTCATTCTTTGTCTCCATTATAATGCAGAACTCATAATGTCTTCATGGTATAATTCATAGCAAAAGGAATTACTATACCAATGAAAGACTGAGCAAAGAAATGGCAAGGCCACAGTTTGGGAAACATTATTGAGATAGGGATCTTAATACTTAGAGTTGTTTCACTGGCAAGAAGTTGTGTCTCCTAAATTCTTATCTCAGCCTTTAGTGATGGAAAGAATTTTGACTCTGTTCTAGAACTAATTTGAAGTCCCACCTCTGTGTTGTACCTCTTTGTATTTTAATTTTTCTTTTACTGATTTGTTTCTATCATTTAGATTTTTAAGTACCAAGCATCTTTCTGTTATCAGGTTTTATATAATATATAACATAAAATCATGCTAGAACTTTAATGTTAATTTTAATATTTTCCAGGTTTATGGAGCCTGCAGTTATTGTTTGCTTGGGAGGAATTTTACCTTTTGGCTCAATCTTCATTGAAATGTAAGTTTTGGCAATGTATTTATGCTTTGAGGGATTTAATTGTAATTAGAGAATTTAGGAGTTAGGGTAGGATGGGAAAGCATCAGAGTTAGTCTGTTAATTCCATGGCTTCCAGAAAGGGGTCTATGTATCTATCTAAAAGTAGTTTTCTGCTCTGTTCTGAAATATTCAGATGAAGTTTATACTTATTTTACATTATATTCTAGACCTCTCGTTCTATAAGAAATCTTAGAAATCAAAGCATGCATGCTAGAGAATGCTAGACCAGCTTTTGGTCATAAGCACAATTTAAGGAATTACTGGTGTTTAATGTATTTTTAAAATATTTCTGAGTGTCCAGAGAACTAGGTAAACCAGTCAGACTATCCTGACGTCTTTGGAGGCATAGTCATTCCTAGTTTTCTTCCATAGAGACCTGCAGGAGTGCTAGGAAATATGTGTGTGTTCTTGGGGCGGTGTGTGTGTGTGTGTGGGGGGGGGGGGGGGGGGGGCGCGGTTGGGAGTTGCTGGGGGGTGGTGGTGGGAGGGGAGAGGTATGCCACCTTGTGCCCAGTTACCATGCTTCACAACTGCATGCTTGGTTACCACTGCAAAATGTAAGCCTTTCTTTTCTCCGCCTGTGTTCCAGTGTTTCTTGATGCGAATGTGCTGGCATTTTAGGCAAGGCAGTGCTATGTATGACACTTTCTCAAGAACTGCAGTCCTACACCTCTGGCCCCTGCCCACGAAATGCCAGTCATTGTAACTGCTCAAAATTCCTTACACTTTCCTGTTAGCTGCACCACTGCTGATTCTCTCCTGTACAGGGGATGCCTCCTTAACAAACATGATTGGATCTGATAATTGGTTAGTTGATAAAGTTGCCTCATGTAAGGGAATTATAAAGGAAGATACATACATAACATTTTATTTAACTTAAAACAGCTAACTTAAAATCATTCTTCACTGATTTTTTTTTAAAAAAATGTTTAAATCCAAAGTCTTTTCTTTGATTTGTATCTAGTTGGTGTTTCTGTCATTTTTCCTTTGACCTTCATAATACATCTTAGGTATTTTCCAGCCTTTTTAAAGTGTAGGAAGAACAACATAAAGACCTGTCTGAAGCATTCTAATCTTTTATAGTCATCTCACCCACACTTAATTTTATAACTTTTTTTTTTTAGCAACTCACCGTATTGAATTTTCCCAAAGCATTTAAAATAATTTTTAGAAATCACACATCCTTTGTGCTCTTACGTTTATTGGCTTATGTGACATTAACTAAATTGTCTAATTACACCAACAAGTACAACTGACATAGATTTGGACTCACGTACCAGCTGTGGCTTTTAGTCAATACCTTGAAGAGGGATTGGATTGGTATGTGTGTCATTTTAGCTAGTGGTTTAATACAGCTGGTTCAGGAACTTCTGTCCTTTACATCTGATACTGCTTTGTGTCCTCACCCTGACTTGACTGCCAACTGTTTTTTCCCTCCTGTCCCCATCCTGAGTTCCTTCTGGCTCACATCTCTTCCTGCTCTCTCAGGTACTTTGTTCCATTGGCGAGCCTTTCGCTGCATCTTTAACCTCTGTTTTGACCTCCTGCACACTGTGCCATTCTGCCCTTGGCGATCAAAGTGACCTTTTTAAGGTATCAGTCTGATCATGTCACTTCTTTGCTAAAGACTCTTGTTTTCATTGAGGTAACTCCAAATTCCATAACAAGGCCAATAAGGATCTTCCTGATATAGGATCTGGCCCTGTTTACGTTCATCTCTTAGCTTTCATCCCTTCAGTTGAAGTTCTAGCCACACTGATCTTTGAGTTTTTCAAAATACAGTGAATTTTCTCATTTGTGAACCTTTGCCTTTGCTGTTTCTATACATGGAACAGTCTTTTTGCTCCCCCGACCCCCTTTCTCTCACCTTCCATCCTACACATGCCTTAGCTGATTCTTCTCGTTTACTCTCGCCCCTCTGGCTCATTGACAGAGCATGTGTCACAGTGCATCACGACTGCCCCTTCCCTGGTGTCCCTCTGAACAGTACTCTCCCTAAGGGTGGAGGCTGTGTTGTCTTCATAGTTCTGTTCTCACTGCTTCCCTGAAATAGGGTGAGAGTCTGTAAGTATCCTGAGAGAGTGAATGATGAACAAATGAATTAATCAAGAGAACAAGAAAAAGAAAAGAGACTAGAAGATACCCCTTCTAATTGAATGAAGACTAGGGTAATGGAATTAGAATGAAGGGTCTTTTTCTTAGTGTAAAACGTTTTTCTTTTTTACAGTGTGTGATTCCTTTCATGTAAATAGAAAACCCGGGTAAAATTATACTATCATGTTTAGGGTTGTAGGCTTAGGTGGCAAAGTGGGTACTGCCCAGGATAAAGGTGGAGGTCATTACAAAGGCATAAGGGTGAGTTTCTGGGGTGGTGACAGTGTTCTGTCTTCATTCAGATCTTAGTGAAATCTTAATACCCTTTCTCCTACTGTCCTCTGAAGATAGCATAAAGCTTCTTTAGTCTTTCTTGTCCTAGTTTCTCCCCTCACCCCTAATTTTATATACATTATTATTCTATCAAACCTAGTTTTTAGCTTAATAGGATATTTTATAAAATACAACATACATTTCTTTAGTAGTGTTGCATTTAGAAAAAAATGAAAGAGTGAGGGAATTGACTTTTTTACAAATAATGAATTTTTGGCTGTTGTTTTTTCCCCACATTTTACTCCTTTAAGCTTCTAATTCATTGTTTGATTTGACATAAATGGCCCACTACCAAATTTTTCCTTTTTAAAAATAAATTCTTTATTGTTGAAAATATTACATATGTTTCCTTTTTCCCCCATTGACCTCTACAAAATTGTTCTTGAAAGATTACGCAGGAATATTTTGGAGAGAATTTGAGAGTGTTTAACAGATGAGAAAAGGTAAGGGAAATTGTTGGAAGTTTTTGAAAGAAAAATATTGACATTAAAGTGAGCACTAAGATGAGAGAATTAGCAAGAGCAGGGTAAGCGTTAAAATAAAGACTAGAAAGCTGCCTTTCTGCCTTTTACTCAGGTATTTCATCTTCACATCCTTCTGGGCATATAAGATCTACTATGTCTATGGCTTCATGATGCTGGTGCTGGTCATCCTGTGCATCGTGACTGTCTGTGTGACCATCGTGTGCACATACTTCCTGCTGAATGCGGAGGACTATAGGTGGTGAGTACTTACTTTTGGGAAGAACCTTTGGGGACCATAATGTTTTAAAATAAGATTTCATTTGAAGTATGTTGAGTGAAGTAAAAGATCTGAATAAAAATCTTGCTACTTAAGATAGTATAGGGAATTTTCCAGTGATAAAAATGATATAGATAAAGATGATGAAGATTTTCTGTTATAGTGTCAGTCTTTTTTTTTTTTTTATTAATTAGGGTCACTGTGTTAGAAATATTTTTACAAAATGCTTGATGTGGAAGAAGCTTTATGAGAAGCTTCATATATTTAAATGTGAAGTACATCATTTGTTTTTAAATATACAAAATTTTAAAGGATTTTAAAAATGAAATGATTTGCTTTTTAAAATCCTCATTTCAGTGCCATTCATTCTAACGAGCTATGTTTTCCCCTCTAGGCAATGGACAAGTTTTCTCTCTGCTGCATCAACTGCAATCTATGTTTACATGTATTCCTTTTACTACTATTTTTTCAAAACAAAGTAAGTTGAGACATTTTCTCATTTGTATTTAGGAAACAGAACTAGTTATTTAAATACTAGCATTTAAGGCCTTACGTTGAGAATGAAAATGGATGTACTATATATATTTATTTTGTCTTATTTCAGGATGTATGGCTTATTTCAAACATCATTTTACTTTGGATATATGGCGGTATTTAGCACAGCCTTGGGGATAATGTGTGGTAAGTTCGAAAATCTTGGAATATCATGAGTAAATCTTTGAGTGTTTCAGAATCAGAAAAATATAGTAATGGGAAATTAAGAAATTACATTTTATTTGATCAGGAACATCAAAATAAGAGTCTGGTTGACTTCTTTTTTTTTTTAAGTTCCACCTTTAGTAATAGAATAAGGCAGATGTAATCATCTTGTTAAAAGCTAGGTTCTAGTATGACATTTGTGGACCCCTTTGGGTACCAGGATTGCTTTTTTCCTTTACCAGAAGAATCTTTTCTCCATATTGGTGGGTGTTAGAGGTGGATGTTGGAGATACAAACTTCCAGAGTCCTGGGGATGTAATGAACAGCATGGTGACTATGATTAATAATACTGTATTGTATATTTGAAAGTTGCTAAGACATTAGATCCTAAAAATTCTCAAAAAAATAATTTGTAACTGTATGGTGGTGGATGTTAAATAGAATTATTGTGATAATCATTTCACAGTATATACATATAACAGATCACTGTTGCACAACTGAAACTAATATAATGTATCAGTTAAAAAAAGAATATGTTCATTCACATATACCATGTATATCACCACGTGTGCACAAACACTGTACAAGTGACATCTATTGTCAAGTAGTAAAACTCATTTCCACAGACAATAAGGGAAGACATTTCTCTATATTATAATCACGTTTCTTTAGCTGTTGTGATAACCTTTCTTTGTGATAATTTATTAGTTAACCAACTTTGGGGGGAAGATGAATAGGAACTGAAGGTGAAAACTAGATTTGGGAACATCCTGATGTACATTTTAGGCAATCAGAAGGTTCCTTTAGTACTGTTGGCCATCCTTTCTTCAGAATATTGCTCATAGAATTCCTCTTTATTTCATCTGAGGTCTTTCTTGATTACCACCACCATTTAGAAAGGTATAGAATAATGGGATTATGTAGAAAATTTCATTTTTTTTCTTGACTTGATGTATGATCTTTGACTTAGAGAGATAATATCTTGACATTTACAAATAAAATGGAATGAATTTAGGTAAAATTTTTTTAGTACTTTTCCTGTTGAAATTTCATTTTGCTGCTTGAAAATCTTGGCACATTTACAGTTGCCTCTTGTGCTGGCAGTATCCCCATATTTATTCTTTGGTGGGTGTATATGCTTCAGTTTTGGGGGCAGAGGGGAAACAAGTCAGGCTGAAACTTACTCATGTGTCATCATGAGTATCAGCAATTGAAAGAAAAATATTGTTGATTTTTTTTGATGTAGGAAAAGGAAGCAAGTATGTTAAGGTGGGTAATAGATTGTTATAATCTATATTTTGAGCATAGACTAGCATTTTAGTTTTAAAGAAATTAAGTTTAAAAGTGTATCTCTAGCCTGGCTGGTGTGGCTCAGTGGTTGAGCATTGACCTATGAACTGGAGGTCACAGTTCAATTCCTGGTCAGGGTTTATGCCAAGGTTTCGGGCTCGATCCCAGGTGAGGGGTGTGTAGGAGGCAGCCAATCAGTGATTCTCATCATTGATGTCTCTAGCTCTCTCTCCCTTTCCCTTCTCTGAAATCAATAAAAATATATTTTATACAATAAAATTAAAGTATATCTCCATATTATTCCCAAGACATTTACTTTTCTAGAGAGCATATTCACTATCCTCTTCTTATAAAGTCATCTGTATCATAAAAGGCTTGTGGTCGTGACGCCATAAGGCCGGAACGACCAAACAGCCGGTCGCCAGGAGGTGCATGGAGCACCTCTCTCGGGCCGGGACTGGTGTGGCGGAGGCAGGGCCGTGGCTCATGCAGGGCGGGTCTGGGTCTCATGTGATTTCGCGTGCTGGGCCTCTAGTATTTTTATAAGCTTATTCTTGAGGTACTTCCGTAAGATTAGGAAAAATGATTCTCTAGTTTGGTACTGTTTTGTTTTGAAGCATATCTCCACTCAAAGGGAAAAAGTGTTTTATAAGTCTGAAAAATTAGATTTGATTATTGAACTAGTGTTATGCGAGTTAATTTTTTTTTTTTTTTTTTGATTTTAGAGAGGAAGGGAGAGAGAGAAAGAGAGAAACATCAATGATGAGAGAGAATTATTGATTGGCTGCCTCCTGCATGTCCCCTACTGTGGGGGATTGAGCCCACAACCCGGGCACGTGCCCTTGACTGGAATCGAAACTGGGACCCTTTAGTCCTCAGGCCGACGCTCTACCCACCGAGGAAAACTGGCTAGGGTTATTTGCAAGTTAAATTTTTGATTCTAGTTAAAATTTTACAAAACCGAAAATTTTTTTCTTACTTGTAAGGACTTGTATTATATAACTATTTCAAAATGAATTATCAGTATTTTAAAGTGTAATGTAATTAATTCATATTAAAAATGTCTGTTCATTGAAAAATAATTAGAAATAAGTTTGCTTTGTTTTGGTGAGGTTTTTTTGAATTTTTAATATTTAATTGTGGGACATTTTCAAATATACACAAAAATAGGGGCCATTTATTTATCTATAGTGAGTCCCCATATATCTAACACATCTAACATCAATAATTATAATCTCATGGCCCATTTTGTCTTTTCATTTAACAAATTGGTACTTAATTCTAAAAATATATCAGGTCAAACTTGGTGTATGGAAGTAACAGGTGATTTGCAAAACAAATGATACAATTTTAATAAGTTCAAAGAGAATACTAATATAAAGACATTATCTTGATAAAAAAAGAACTCTCCAGAGCAGAGGGCATTTAGTGTTTGTAAATGATTGCTCTGTATGAATTTGTTTCAAAACCTTATTTTATCTTTACAGGAGCAATTGGTTACATGGGAACAAGTGCCTTTGTCCGAAAAATCTATACTAATGTGAAAATTGACTAGAGACCCAAGAAAACCTGGAACTTTGGATCAATTTCTCTTTCACAAGTGTGGAACTTGCACAGCAAAAAAAGCGCAAGAAGAGATTTGGGCGTTAACACTGGGTACTTTGTGGGTCTATCTTTCGAGGATGGCGTAAAGTAACATCTATTTCCATTGATCCTAGGTTCTTACTGACTGCTTTCTCCAACTGTTCACAGCAAATGCTTGGATTTTATGCAGTAGGCATTACTACAGTACATGGCTAATCTTCCCAAAAACTAGCTCATTAAAGATGAAATAGACCAGCTCTCTTCAGTGAAGAGGACAAATAGTTTATTTAAAAGCATTTGTTCCAATAAAATGACTAGAGGGAAACTTGGATGCTAAAATTACATGAATAGAAATCTTCCTAGCACTTAGTGTTTCCATGTTACTGAAAAATGATGTTCCAGAAATATTATTATTTTCTCTTATTTTTACTGCTATCACCAACCTATTGTGGGACATTTTTATATATTGAACCTGGGTTCTTTTTTGAGCATTTTTCTCCCCCAATTCAACTGCATCTTTTTTCTAAAAGAAAGAATTAAAAATATTAAATCCTGCATGTAATATATCTGCTGTCATCTTAGTTGAACCAGCTTCCCATATATTTATCTCAAAACCATCCAGTTACATCTTAATTCCATCCAAAGAAGATACAGTCTGAAGATAGAGGTGTACTCTCTACAATGCAATTTACTGTACAGTTAGAAAGCAAAGTGTTAAATGGAGAACATATTTGTTTTATTAAACATTTTGAGATTTAGATAAACTACATTTTAACTAAATGTCCTAAGTGATTATCTTTTCTCCCCCCTCTCACCCCCCAAGTTAGTCTTACATCTTTTTTGGGTTTGAATGAAGGTTTTGCATAAGAAATTATTAAAAACAAGGGGGGTGGGTAATAAATGTATATAACATTAAATAATGTAATGTAGGTGTAGATTCCCAAATGCATTTGGTTGTACAGATTGATTACGGAGTACTTTTTTCTGATGCTGATTGGTGTAGAAATGTGTGAATTTGGGTAGCTTTTTACATCTTGCCTACCATTGCATGACACATTGGGGTTTCTTCAAAATGTGTGTGTGTCTTCTTTTGGGAAGGGGGGGATTGTTTTCTTCTGTTTCTTTTCTGAGACTCCTACACGAACTAAATTTGTAATTTAGAAACCTTTAATTTTGTTAATCTTGTCTGGGGCACTTAAGTAACATCTAAAGCAGTAATGCTTTAGAATGTTAAAATAAAATTTCCTGACCAAATTGTTTTGTGAAATTAGATGTGTTTGCAATTTGAAGCTATCTTTTTAAAAGGCAATATTATTGAATGCAGTTTTTAAATAAACTGTAAATTATGCTTTTTTTAATACAGAGAACTCACACTTTAAAATCCCCAAACCTGCTTACATCTAGATTATCCAGTACAGTCAGAAGTGAATGATAAGCCCTTTGAATGAAATTGTGGCACAAAGTCTGTTCAGGTTGGTGTACCCTGTAAGGGGGGTGGGGGGTAAAAGTGGTTAGGTTACTATTGGATGAGCAAATAAAGATTACAGTTTTCTGAGAAGTGATTTTAATTTTGAGTACATCTTTCTGGAACTATCCATAATGTGAAGTTTTCCTAGAACCATTGAGTTTCTAGTTTAATAGTTTGCTATGCAAATGACCACCTAAAATAATTCTGTATATTGGTATTTTTAGAAGAGTCAGAACAGCTATATTTAAACCTTATTGTGAAACTCATGCCATTCATAGTTATGTAAGATGTTTTCATTACAAAATATGTTTATCAATTAGTAAACTCTGCATCCTATCATGTGGTATGTAACGACTATAAAGGGTAAAAAATTTGATAAATTACCACTCAAGTGTGGCTGACAGAAATTTGATCAGAAGTTATAGGTAAATCCTCTTCATACCAAAATGTTATATTAAATGTAATACACTGGTTCTTCCATTTTCCCTTTTTACTTACCTTTAGGATCTTATAAGAAAAATGAAAATTCAGTATATAGTGGCTTATATTTCTAACTAACAGTATATAGTCTGATGGAGTGCAAATTGGACAGCAAGCTTTTGTTATAATAAAATGAAATTTATTTTTTCATGAGTTGCAGGTAAGATGTAGGGTTTTTAAAGAGTGGGTTAGCTGCTTTCAGGTACACCAGTTCTTTCTATTAAATTGAGCTCTGTTTGAAATCTTTTGGAATCTTCCGTGGAAAACATTTTTCTAATTTCCATGTATATTAAGAGGTCCATTAAAATGAATATAAATCACCTTGAAAAGTCCTTTAGAAATTGTGTACTGATCTATGACTTCATAGAGGGGCTGGATGTGGTGTGTCTTGAAGAAGTTGTAATTCACAAATGGTTTAGCTCCCTAGCTCTCAGCTGTAGACTAGTAAAATAAAATAATATTTAAATAATTAAAGGATGGGGTTTTCCCACTTCATTAATGCTACATATCTGTCTCATTTGTTAATGTTATTTGCTCAACTCCCCAACTTATGCTTTGAACACAACCAAAAACTAAAGATTATTTTCCCCTTGTATCTGTAAGCATATTTCTCCTAAAATTTAGATACATTAGTAATTCACACACACACACACACACACACATCTCCTTGTATGAGAGTAGGATAAAGGTGGAGATGAAAAGGCTGGAGGGATAGTGGAGCATTCTTTAGTAGGTCATGTTTGGGCTCCTAGATTGCACTGGGTTTGCCCATAATCAAGCCCCATACTCTTATAAGTCATTATTCTGTGGGGAGAGCTGAATGGGAATGGTGTACTTACCTAGTGAATGGTGTGCTTGGGTGTTTTCCATTGAGAGTGGATGGACCTCTTTATAAAGATGGTTGCTGCAAATTCCAGTTCTTCCAAAAGCCACTTTATTTAGGGTTTATCCACAAATTGTATTCATTTTGGTAAAGCTTTTGTTTCTTAAATATGTACTATCCACATTATGCCAAATGTCTTGCAAATAAATGTTATTTTAAAATTTCCTGAATTTTTACAAATGTAAAAAAGAAAAAATGTATTAATGTAATTTGTTCAGAAAAAGCTACATACCGAAGGGCTTCTGTTTATGAAGTCTGGGAAAGAAAAGCCTGTTTGTAATCTATACACTGTAGTTCCATCTGGGTTTTAAGTTTAGATTTTAGAGTGTCTTAGTGCTTTATTCCTTTGAGTTATTGGAACACATAATAAATAGGAGTAGTTATGTATGAAAACACAGGTATTTATTAATGTTTTATATCTTCATAAAAATTTTAAGTATGAATCTATATTTTAGCAATCAAGATGTTAAATAGATAAGTGACAATTTTAAAAGATCTAAAGTGTATGCAGAAAGACTAGGCTAGATTTAGAGGTACAGTAGATCAGAAAGTTAGCATACAGCTGCAGAAATTTTATATGATTTAAATTCAGCATGAGGAATGATTATTTCCTCTTGTGAGTATTTTCTAAAAGCTATCTGATTTGACATTTTTATTGGAGCTGTAGACAGAAGAGTGCAAAGACAAAAGTAAAAAATTAAGTTATTTCACTGTGCTAGGAAATGGAAATGAACTATTGTGAAAGCCACTTATATTCAAGTATTGGTGAACTAAGATTGCTAATACTTGACTGATAAAGCAGCATTCTGTGTGTTTAGCCCAATTCATCAGTTTAGGTCATTTGAAAGTTTTAAATGTTATAAGTAAGAGCTTAAGGCAAGGAAGCAATGACACGGAATTCTATTTGAAAGCCAACAGAGCGTGCTTGGAGAAGCAGTCCCCTCGGGCTTTTAGCTCTTTCAAATCTGAATCTATAAATCCCCACAGAGCACAGACAATCGGTGACAGAGTTGGAAGGAAACAGTTATTGCTTGGTGATTACTTCCATTTTGTACACACCCTTGGTTTGTGTAGGCCATATTCCAACTGGCTTTTTAGTAATAGAAATCCAGTATATAATGTATCAAATACATTTGAGGTTCTAATCTAGTCTGTTGAACTGAAGTTGGATTTTTAAAAGTAATAAAAAGTTAAATGTACTTCCCTTGGAGCCTTTATTTCTTTCCTTTTTGAAACAGGTGAACCAAGAATAAGGGATGACCCATTATTAATGGCACACATATGAAGAGATTACTGATAGCTTCCTGCAATTATATAAAACAGGGCTCAGCAAACTTTCTCTGTAAAGGGCAAAATAGGAACTATTTGAGGCTTTGAGAACCACAATGCGGTCTCTGCTGTGACTGACTGTTGTACCCGCAGTAGACAGTACATAAACTGATGAGGATGGATGTGTTCCAATATAATGACAGAAACAGCCAGGGGGCCATCATTTGCTGACACCTGACATGAAGGATTTAAGACTTTATTCTGCCCAACTTTTGTATTTTGGAAAAGACAAAAAAAAGTACAGAAAGTTGAAAGAATGTTACAATGAATGAGGGTTGTCTTTTTAAAAAACGATCTTTATTTTATGATCATTTTTTGACATTTTTTCCACACAAGCTCTGACTCCTACACGGAAACCCCACACTCCTCCATCCCTGTCATTCTCCTGTTTGATAATATGTTGCATTTGTCTAGTACTTCTTTTTACAAAGGCGTTTCAGATAATGATTCCTTACAACCATCTTGTGGAGCTGATGAGGTAGACATCTACATTTTATGGAAGCCGTGAAAGGGTCTCTTATTATCAGGATTAAGGTCCTATTGCTGTAACCATAGAATGGATGTCACCTCTCCAACTTGTGGAACAGATAACGTGTAGAATTCACACTGAAAATGAGTATTCTATATTGATGGAAGGGATTCTCTTTATTGTACTACATCAAAATCAGTGGTTAATTTCTCCTGATGTGTTTGTACTTTTATTCTAAAAATTATATTTTCTAAAATACATTTTTACTGACTTCAGAGAGGAAGAAAAAGCAAGAGATAGAAACACCAATAATGAGAGAGAACCATTGATTGGCTGCCTCCTGCACACCCCTACTGGGGATGCAACCCAGGCATGTGCCCTGACTGAGAACCGAACCAGTGACCTCCTGGTTCATAGTTTGACACTCAGCCACTGAGCCATGCCGGCTGGGCTATACTTTTTTTCATCTCCAGTCTTAACTAGTTATTTAAATTGTTGTCAACTCTGTTTTTTTTCTCCTGCTGATTTTATTAGCTACCTCAGTCAAAACCTGTACTTGATAATTCCTAGTGCCAAATAGTTTAAGTTGGTACAAATTTGGATTACTTTTGATCTCTTTAGTGAACAGTTTTCATCTGGTTGGAAAACAAGGGGAATAAGGGATCTGTTATTCAGCTACCTTCTAGATTTCAACGTGAGAACTTTTATTAAATGGTTCATGTACAGTTTAACATTAGAAAAGGTGGGGGGGAGGGGGGTTAAGCCTTTGGATATGTGGAGTCCATCAATGGTAATGTAGTCTACACATGTATTTATAATTACTTAAAATTTTAAAAAATGGAGCAGGTGGTTGTAGGGAGAAGTTGATGTAACTTACTTTACCTGGCCAATGTTATGGTTATTCTTAGTGGTTCAATCTAAGCCACTAACATTATGGGACTTAACCTTGAAGATCATTGAAGGGAATGAAGGGTCTAGAGCAGTGGTTCTCAACCTTCCTAATGCCTCGACCCTTTAATACAGTTCCTCATGTTGTGGTGACCCCCAACCATAAAATTATTTTCGTTGCTACTTCATAACTGTAATTTTGCTACTGTTATGAATCGTAATGTAAATATCTGATATGCAGGATGTATTTTCATGTTACAAATTGAACATAAAGCATAGTGGTTAATCACAAAAACTATGTAATTATATATGTGTTTTCCGATGGTCTTAGGCGACCCCTGTGAAAGGGTCGTTCGACCCCCAACAGGGTCGCGACCCACAGGTTGAGAACCGCTGGTCTAGAGAGTGATACAATGGAAGTTGGTTCCCAGTTGGAGTTGTCAGACAGGTCTGCTGCAGGTTATATGCCAGTAGGGTCGGACAGACATAAATAGGTGAATGCTGTAAGTGTGGTAGCTGCTTCAATAGGTGTTGGCATGATGATGCAAGCTGTGTGGTCATCAAGTTGTTCCCAGCAGAGAGGTGCAAAGCAGCAAGGCCTTATTAAGATCACTGCAAGGGGTTTAATGCAATAAGGTGGCAAGAGCCAAGGCTGGAGTAGGGAAAGGAAGGCCTGATGTTTCATGGAGGGCCTGGTGTGCCACCCTGAGGAGCTCAGATAAAAGGCTTTACACAGCTGCTAAACACTTAACTATGAAATATTTTTCATTACCGCCTCCGAAGAACCCAAAAGTACCTTCTCAGTGGTCAGTAATGTGAGCTAAGGAATGAGACAGCAGATGAGTACCCATCTCTTCTGGAGCCTCTGTTCCCCGCCTTGGAGGAGGTGATGATGTGTAGTGGCCTAGAAAGCAAAATGAGGAGAAGGTGGCCTATGTGCAGTAGTAGTTCAGGAAGTCGGAACGTGGTAGACATGGAGGGCTTTGAGCTGCTGACAAGAGAAATGGGCCACTCTGGGTATAGGGTATAGATGGAATGAGTTGGGTGGAGGACAGACATCTGACTAAACAGGGAAAAGCTTACTGGTACAGCCACTTGCAGATATTCTGCACAATTATGAGCAATGGGGGAGGAAGCCCACATATATGAACCTACTAATGGGACAGAGTTGGGCATTTTTAGGTCATGAAGCCTTTTATTTTAAACCTCTAGTTTTTTTTCATGAGATTTAAATGAAAGAAAAATGTATTTTAAACATACAAAATGGTGAGTGAAATCAGGAACTATAGAAATGAAAAAGATACTCATCATCCCTTTTCAACTGTTCCTATCTAACCTATGATCCAAGTATTTTGTTGATGTTGGTTGATAGCAAAAGGAGCATCTAAACGGCTTCTGACATAACCCTGCAGCTTGGTCATCCAGTAGCACCACTGTCTTCAAAGTTTCTGGACAAAGTGCTGGTGCGAAGACCTGCAACTACTTACCAGGCGGGGATTGGAGGCAATAAAAGCTTGCAACCTCAGTGCTTGCACAAGAGGTCGCCTGGACTATCTATTTTCCAGAGGATTCCCTGCTCATGAAGCCAGTTGGCTGTTTGCCTAGTGCCATCTGGAGACCAGAAGTGTCACAAGTTTGTTCGGCCTTTTAGATGTTGACTGTGGACTTGCCTACTGACAGGTGGTGACCTTCACTGGGTTGAAGGCAGAAAACTATGGCGATGGGTTTGACTCCTTCCAGCCTTGTTCAACCCCCTCCCACACCTATTGCCCGTTTAATGGCCACTTGGTCTTTCCTGCCATTTGGTGGAATCCCTTCCGCCCACATTCCTTCCACCTGTCAGTTCCTAGCCAGATCCTGCCCAATCTAGCTCCATCCCGTATGTGCTTATTTGATGAAAATTGATAGGATGACGCAGGGTCACTTGTATTTTTTCCTAAGGGCCAGGACAAAATATCCCATAGCACCCTCCCAGTGGTTAGCCCTTCACTGGTTTGAAGGACTTGTTATCCTAGTTATTACAGGAGAAGGCAGATGATCATAATACAGGAAACTTGGGAGTCCTGTGTAAAGACAAGCTTTGGGCTCCCTGTCGACTATTTTGTCATCAGAGGTTGCAAAGCCATGTGAAAACCCAAAAGGGAAATTCAGTCTATTTTTTCTGCTTACAGTTTAAATGAAAAAAGATTGTTCTGGGCGTGATGCTGAAAATCTGTACACATTTAGTGTGTTTTACTTCTTGATTAGGGCAGTTTTGCTTGCATAAAAGGTCTTTGAAAAGCCTCATGGTAATAATACTTTTTATGTCTATAAATCAAAATAGCTGTTCTGACAGTTTTTACATTTAAGGGACAACATAGGAGTGGGTTTCAAATATCTCTTGATTATTCTAAATTATTTGGGCATATGTTTTTAATTGACAAAAAAATAAAATAAAATAACCAGACTTTAGAAATTGGTCATTTTTATTCCATCCAGTTAATGCTGAATGGCTTATTTAATAAAGCATGTCTGTAATTTAACACAAATAGCACCGTACAGCTGTTCATTTGTCAATCTTTTTGTATGAAGCATTTTAGACTGTTTTAATAAAGGATAGGGTCACTTAGAGGGGAAATCGGTCATTTTAAATTATTCTTCCCAAGGCACTAGGTTAGGTGGGTGCTGCAAAAAGCACCCCTTCATGGGTGAGATGGAAATCCTCTATTTTTTCCTGCACTGAAAGCGACTAGACTCAGTCACGAGAGAGAAGACTGACTTCATCCCTGCAGAGGAACGACTGTCTGAGAGCAGTTGGTAGGGAAGCGGACAGCTCTAGCCACTGCTGCATGCCTTCGCCCACGTGTGCACTGGGGAGTTGTAAAGTGAGTTATGCGAATCAAACAAGGCGGAAAGTCCGGCCTTGATCTTCAGGAGCTGCGTTCTCCGGTGGGAGCACCGGGGACCAGGGTCCTTGCCTTCAGCATCTTCCTCCGAAGTTGCGGAGGTGCCGGGAAGAGGAGGGGCTTCGCCTCGGGCGTCCGAGTGATTGGCTGCCCGGGGCCCCTGGCGAGGGCTGTGTGGTCCAGCCCGGGCGGAGAGGGGCGGAGCGGCCACTGTTCCAACCACAGCCACCACCGCCACAGTCGCCTGCCGCCGCAGCCTCGGCCGCTGGGCAAGTCTCCGAGCGGCGGCTTCTTGGATCCCCGACGAGGACTGGGGCGCCACGCTCTGTTCACTCCGCGCCGAGCCATGCTGGCCACGCGCGCGTAACCACCGAGCCCGCAGCCCCGACCCGACCCGGTACCGTTCCTCGCCTCAGCCCAGCTCTCCGCGCACGCGACTCCCTCGGTCTCTGCCGGTCCCTTGCGACCATGCCCCGGGCGGCTGCTCTCGGGGCCCTTGGGCCACTGCTGCTGCTGCTGCTGCTGCCGCTGCTGCTGCTGCCGCTGCCCCGCGACGCCGAGGGCCTTGGGGGGCGCTCGGACGCAGCCTCGGACTACTCCGCGCTGGAGGGCGAGGAGGGCGCGGAGC